CTCAATTCTGGCACACCATGAACCAGTACCACTTTCTTATCGCGTTTCGACGTGATGCACTAGGGTTAGATTTCTACGTTTGTCTTTCTGCTCGTGGCCTGCCAGGAAAAGTCCGGGCACTGGCAGAAGAGTTCACTAATATATGGCTTGCTAAGAGAATATCCTCCAGGTCGCGATTGTTGTCAAATCTTATTCGCAGTAGCCGAGGTTCTTCTATGTGTGGAGGTGATGGGTTTCGTGAAAGGTGTGTATGGCTGGTTGGGAGAACTTTCAGTCCGAATGTGTAGGTTATTTCAACTCAACAGGGTTGCTCCTCGTCTTGTCTGCATTTTAGCAATGCGCTAGTGGGTTTTGTGACGTTTGAATATATCACTGTCATCGCTTTTGGAATGTTTAGCAACAGTTTGTTTTGCAGGTTTCTGTGAACGGGGATTTTTTCGTGTGAGAGTCATTAGCTTATCTGGTGTGGAAGACAGACCAAGACTACAGTAAAACTGTTTATGTGCAACGCCGTTATTCGCGTTATGCTTAGGAGTCTAGTGCCGTTACCCGGCTAATAACGGAGGTGATCGCGCAATTTGTACATAGCTCTACATGGCTAGCAGTATTTCGCGATATTTGGGAAGTCGTTCAACCGGCATATCGTCATTGCTATTTGTAAATAATGGTGTTCGTTTTTCGCTGGACTGCGTAGCGTTTTTGCTACAGAGTTTGTCTTTACACAGTTCTTAGATTGGGACTACATAGTATATTAATCTGCGACTCGAGTTCAGAGAGTTTCCCTCCCAATACCTGGATCAGTTCCTTTTACTCTATTGACGTAGGACCTAACGACTCACACCTCATCGTGGGCGTTTGAACAATGCTAACTATGGGTCTAGCTGAACATGCGTCACAGAACCACAACCTATCTGTGGGTAGGCTATTCATTCCGTTACATTTTATGTTTACGTTAGCTGCGTCATGAGGATTGGCACAGAACGAACACGTAACTCTTGAGATCATCTATGTTGTCAGCTTATCTATGCTACGATTGATGTTGGGTTGGTTGTTAACCGGAGTTCCGGCAGACAAACTTCTCTGGCCCATGGTTAGGTGGCTTGCATGAGCTGTTAGGTCGCGCTGCTCACACCGTTTGAGCTGCCTCGGTTGCCGCGTGGTTGGCTGGAACTGTCGTCGAGTCAGCGGGTTTGGTGGTGGTGCATCCTAGTCCCACGGGTGGACAAAAATCACAGGCTTGTGCAGTAAAATGCACTTGCAAATGCAGTGGTAAATATGAGACGACAAAATGGGATGCAAGTACGGTGAGCAGTGGTGCACAGTACTGGATTATATCTTATCTGCTAGCCTTATAGAAGCTCTCTAGAAAGGTTTCTCAAAGGTATTGAAGGAACCCAAAAAGGCAAGGTTTCACTTGTTAGCTCTAACGAATAAACTACCGAAGACGTCGTTTGTGGTGTACAAGCATGCCTTTGGATTTGCTTCAAAAAGCTTGATACCGTTGGATGGAGTTCGGTGATCCGAATCGATCGAGCGTACTTACGAAGAGGTGACACAACAATGTGAGGGGATAAGTCCAATTTAACACAGAGCACAAGGTTGGGCGACTGGCACGCACGCACTGACAAGGTCACGACAACTCAGTTTGAGCTAACCGGCCTTGGAGCGCTCGACTGGTCGGCGTAGACGAGTAAAGCGGTACAACAAAGGTTCATTTACTGATTAAGTGCCAGTCATTTGCGTATCGGCCTGCGATTGGAATGGCGGTTCTGTTTCAGCATTTGTTTCTGGGTTCCAGAATCTTGGTCGCATATGGTCCAAATGATGTTGCAATATCCAGCCATCTTCAGTTTCTGCTTCTGCGACCTGTCCGTTAGTTGTTTTGACGACTGCTGGCTCCCACCCAGTCTGTAGGTAGGTAGGTAGGATCTGAGACTGTCACAACTCTGTCCCTGCTGCAACTATCAAAATGTCCCTTCGCCCGTTGTTACCTTTCAGCAACTTGTGACTCAGTGGTCACATGCAGTACGAGGGTAGAGCAATAACTTTCCTGGTGCATAAAACGTCTTATAGTTTTACAACAAGTTCCTTTTCTCGAAGTTCTCTACACGAGCGTTCATGTAGAGTTCCATGGCCTCAAACCATTTGGTGAAACTGCCACACCATGCCGAAGTGGATAACCCTTCGAGCAGCTCAATAAAGACCCCTTACTGAAGCTTCTGGAGATTCGTAGCGGATGGCATGCATCATGCGCTTGACAGTTGAGGACTCAAATGTCACAAAGAAACAATTCTGGACTGTAAGGTTGGTTACCAACCTCCTGGATGCGTTCTCTAGCCAGAAAAGCTACGATGACATGGGACCTCTCTGCGGGGGCGTTGTTATCGCACAACAATGTCTCTGGTGCTCAAGTCATTAGGCGACGCTCGTCTACAGCTTCCAGCATTAGTGGCAGACAGCGGGTGTCATACCAGTCTCCGGTGGCTGTGCGTTGCCGTACGTGCGGTACAGTAGCTACATGACCGATCTTGGCCACGAACACGGCCACTATCTACTTGGCCACACTGGGCTCACGTCGGAATTTCTGAGTGACGTTACACCAACGCCCATTCACTGAGCCCATTGTTGCTTGGTCTCTGGGTCGAAACTGCACACCCTGGTCTCATCACCACTGAGGATATCCTTGACAGCATTGGAGCGTCCACCATCTAACCCGACCAGCATGATGTGGCACCAATGCGCCCGAGCTGCTTGCTGGTTCTCACTGTGCTAATGGGATACCCAGCGTGTGCAAAACTTTCCTGAGGCAGAAGTTCTCAAATAGGATGGTGCGGATTGATCCCGATGAGATCCCCATGGCTTTCCCCAGCTGTACCACAGACACCCGCGCATCCTCCTTCAGCAACCTTTGCACAGTCGCAATGTTGTCCGCGGTGGTCGCCTCCACAGGTCGAACACACAGTGCATCAAAATTCAGGGAACGCCGGCCACGCTTGAATTCCGCAAACCACGTAAACACAGTGGTACTTGAAGGCGGATCATCACCAAGCGCAGCACATAATCGTTCAACACTTCAACGCTGCTTTATACCACATTTATTGTCACCGAAAATCATCCCAGTGACATCGGCTGAGTTCTATACTTACAGTCAGAGTATGGCGAATCTTATGTCTTGTGAGCTGCGCTGCGCTGCTGTTATAGAGTTCTGTGAGTTTAAATCGATGAAGATTGCTCAGAAGGATTACGGTTCACATGTTTCTTACCCGGTCATCTGCACCCAATCTGCGTACAGCGTATCCGGGAACTTATTGCTCTGCCCTCGTAAATCTTATCGTGTAGTCAAGTGACGACCGAACATTAACTCCACCGGGCTTCCACCGGTTCTTTCGTTTGGCATGCTTCGATACGCGAACAGGGTAGGATACAAATACCCATGCAGTAGAGCATTTGGTTGTTTTGTTAGTAGATTTTCCATTATCTTCACCACTCACTCTACCAACCCGCTGAAAGACGGATGCTAGGGTGTAGTAGTTGTGTGTCCAACGCCGTTTGAGCTAAAAAAAAGTTAGAAAACTTGAAACTGGATAACGCTGGCCCATTGTCAGACATTAATGTTTCGGAGAAACCAAAGGTCGCGAACTTCGTGCGTTGAAGTTGCTGAGGCCAGAATGTGAGCTTCAGTCCACTTAGACTGGGCGTTAACGATAAGACCACCCAATTGGTCTTTGCCTCGCACTGCTGAGGAATAAAACGTTTATTTATTTAATGAGATCGTCTGACTCTCGAAAGGACTTAAAAGGTCTTCGTGTACGCGTTTTCAGGGTGTTTCTGGGCATTTCCAAGGCTGCACTGACGCATAGAGAGCAGCGTTCCGGTTCTCCTACGGAGTCTGCAACTTTTAGTCTTCGCTACAATGTCAACTAAATCAGGAGACTACATATAACAGCGAGTTAGTGGCTTCGTTTTGGCAACTGCTGGCTGCGCATCATGTAGTTCATCCAGGATAAAGAACCGAAACCTTGTTGGGACGAGAACTCGTGCGCCTATTTCTTGGAGAATCAATAACGGACACTGGTTGATGTACATGCACATTCGTACTCACGTATACGCGCTCCTACGCAGCATTAGTAGTCCTTCCGGCTGAATAGCGGTAGATGGTTTGGCATAACCAATGACTGTATCAGAAAACTGGTAGGACACGCCAGTTGACAGTGCAAGGAGCCATCCTCAATTGGACTTGCGCAAAATTATTGTCAGTCCCCCCCCTCAACAAACATCGCATACCCCATTTATATTATTATATGTAGCGCATCCCACGTTCTGCGGTTTTGTAACACGATGTCTAATATAATATCATTTTGTAATGCGGCACGTTGGCTGAGGTGCGTTTCCCACTCTCGGCTAACCTGTATTCACGATGACGGTGATGATGTTGATGATGATGATGATGATGATGATGATGATGATGATGATGATGATGATGATGATGATGATGATGATGATGATGATGATGATGATGATGAATGTTTTGGCCAACGGAACACTCGGGTAGTGACCTAAGTTGGAAGATAGGTTACTACGATAGCCCCGTTTTATCCTGCCTCCCCTACCAAATCGATCGTCATGACGAAACTACATACCATTTAGTGTATCGGCGATTTTGTTTTAAGGCGGTCGAATGACGGCACTGATACGACCCAAGCTAAGCTACCTTCAGACTGATGGTTTGTGTGTTGGTGTGCAAAAAATGACTGCCCCAACAACTGACTATGAATGTCTTATTTTCTCCATTCCTCTACTGTCGGAATAACACAGTGCATTATGTTTGTAAATGGCAGCCGATGCACATACCACTTAGTTATCATCCGTACCGACCAAAAAGTATAATATTTTGACTCACTTTTTTAGAGGCAGCTACTTAAAATGGGCACGCTCATCACAGAAAAATACTTAAGATAACAAACACTAGCAAGATCCACATTTTTGGAAAAATTACTCACCGAATTTGTGTATACTCTGTCGCAGCTAAAGGCATCTGGACTGTATTCGAACATATTATGAGGCTGGATATACAGCGAAAGTCGACCTGCACTGGTTCCTGTATTTGGCAAGTCTTCTTGACGCGGCAAATGTATATTGCCCAACGTGACCCACAACACAATGTCCTACGTAAAAAGGGGACGCGGATGGAGAGGGAAGACAAAAGGGATTATTATTATTATTATTATTATTATTATTATTCCTATGGGACATGGTTAGTGGGATTTGACAGCCGACATTGGGTCTACCCAACCATAAGGCGATTACATGTCTAAAAATCTACCGAACAGTTATTTCATTTCGGTACCCATTGTTAGCGTGTTCATCCATATCGTACCTTACAATTGTGCTGAATCTTCTCACAGACCCTTGCTATCCCCCTCAAATCTGTAGAGACCAGAGCCAGTCCCATGAAGTACTAAGATAATGGGCAGTGTAGCGTGGGGCGTCGTACGTTAAATGTAATTTCTGTATAATGGCGAGCGATCAGAGAACCGAACAACCAGGAAAAGCTCCAGCGTGACCTCAATACGATTTCAAAATGGTCATTGCTAAATACACTACCGTTCAATGTGGAAATATGCCATGCTGTTCATTTGCGCCAAGACTGCGTGTATAGACCTGGGTCACATGTATTGCAAACAAATTTTCAAGAACGCGACTTTAGTGTGCTCATTTAAAGTGACCTTAACTGTTCAAAGCAGTCAGAGACCGCTGCGAAGTGAGCCAACCAGCACGTGGGCTTGCTGCGGAGAGCATTCAGAAGATTCGACCCATCCATTTTCCCCAAGATGCAAACTTCTTACGTGTGTCCTCACGTTGGATACGCCATCCAACCTTAGTAATCTTGGTTGAAGTGCGACTTAGATCTGCTAGAGAAACCACAACGCATGGCCAAAAGAACGTCAAGAACCTACGAAATCTGTCCTACCATAAAAAGCTGAATTCACTGCGAGTTTTCAGTGGCCGCTACCGAAGGCTGCACGGCGATCTCATATTAGTCTACCAAATATTGAGTGACCCTTGTCACGTATGCCGTCACTTGCTAAAAATCAGCCATAACACCAATCTCAGAGGTAACCCTCTGAAATTGTGTACACAGTATAGCCGCCTGGTATGCCGGTGGATTTATTTTTCTTTTCGGCTTTGCCAAGCATGTAACTACTAAAATTAGTTGTTTCCTCCTCCACTTTAGCTATTTTCAAAAAGCGATTGGACCTTGCCCTTGGCCCCCATCACTTGGTTGCCTTAACCGTGCTACTTTGGATTATATGAATAATCCTTTCAAACCGAATTAACATGTCACATAAACCTGAGGTGGCGGTACAGGAGAGAGCATTCTCGGTTTTAATTTTCTCACGGAGTACACCAAATAAACTGCCCCCATGTTGCCTCGTCGTTCGCATTAAATTCTCACTTACAGTACTAATATTCAGCAGCGCATCTGCTAGAAAAACGCTCAAACAAACAACTCACATATCATTTTATATTGTAATTTTACCCCCACCATCCTGTGGGACTTGTCAAGCAACTATTTTTCACCCAGCATTAATTATTCTTCATTGTTCATAATAGTAATGAGCTGGACACTGGAGAATGTGGTATATTATATCGTGACCTATCTATCCAGTAAACCTTTGGCATCAACCAATGTCCCCAAACATTAGGACACTGACTCGTGTCCAGCGAAATTCGCTGCGAAAGCAGGAGGTTACTGGAGATGGAGTTGACGAATGGACTGCGCATTGACTTATATATGTGTAGTCGCCGTCTTACTTTGCGGCGGTAGCATACAGAAGTCGAACTCGATTACATCCCCACAGTAGACTTCTGAAGCATGACACACAATTATACAAAATGCGGAATGTCACAAACTAGCGGATGGTTGATGGATTTTAAACAGGAGCGCTCAATACTCTGTGCACAAAGATATTTTATTACGGCCAGTCTGTAGTTAACAAGTACGTTATACAAGCACATGCAGTGAATCTGATGAATACCAATACGGATGAGTAAATACAAGTACACGTATCTGAGGCTATGCACTTTCTGCCTACTGCTTGATTCTTACCTCATGAAGAATATTTTCGTCATCTTCGCTGAACGAATTGAAGTCCACCACCGGAGAAACAATATCCACCCCATTGAACATAGATGATGCATACGGCTCAGATGCTTTCCGTTTGGTCACAACCAATTGATATCTGAGATGACAAAGGGAAACTTTAATCTCATGATGTTTCTAAATAACTTGTTTTGATGAATGTTATGCGCATCGCCAGTGACTCCAGCACCAGCCACCCAATCTATCTTTCGAAATTACTGGTGTTTCATTAAAGAAACGTAGAATTTAAGTGCAAACAAAAGAGAGCATCCAGGAAAAACAGTGACGCACCGCGAAATATAAAAGTGGCACATTCTCTTTTACTGCACTTGCTTGTTATTGTGGTCACAGTGTTCCCATTCCGGTCCTGTGGTAAGTCAATGGGAGCAAGCAACATCGAAAATGCTATCGGTGTGCAGGAATCCAGCCCACACAGATACCCTTACGACGAGGTGACTTGGGTCACCACGCCATGCATGACAACACCCATGCTACGGCTGCTAGCAATTTCATGTGCCTAAAAAATGTGCACAGGACAGTGACCTCCATCGCAAAGCTCCAATCAGTTTTTGGTATTATGGCCAACGGTTATCAACCAGTATAGCATGGACAAAATGCCAAAGAGTTACAAAGCTAGCCTGTTGATCGGTTTGGGTCTTGCAAAAACAAACCGAACAGTAACAATTAAATGGCAAGTTACGATTCAGTCTTGGACAAAATTGTTAACACGGCGTTTGATGAAAGCCGCTACCTTTGGATGTCCCACAAAAGAGGGTCAGTTTTCGTGTTTTTGCTTGTTGTTATTTATGCACCTCATCTTGTTTTATGATGCAGTGTAAATCAGCAAGTGTGCTGTCGACACAATCTTCAAACACAGTTGATATGGGGGCAAAAATATTAGGTTCTTTGAAAAGAATCCAGACACAGGAAACACATAACGAGAAGAAACCGCGATGATACTCCAAGAGGCATTATTGCTCTGTCAGTTTTCCACGACGGCCACTGAGTTTTCGATTCTGATTGAGCTTTGACAGGTGTTCGTGAACATACCCGACGAGCCTGTTAGCTGCGGCATGATGGGAAAATTCTTTCAAGATATCTAGTCTTGTCATATACCCAAGGAATTAAGGGTATATGTTTTATTACGCTGTATTTGGTTGCTATAATAGCTCGGCATGCATTCTTGCTGTCTTCGACTCCGATTCGCGCTCGCCTTTATATGCGTTACAGCCGGTTCGAATAGGATTCCCTAGCAAGCCTGGTGTATGTGTGTCCTCATATCCATAGCTCTGATGCGTAGCACAAAAACTATCTAGGTAAACTAAACGTTTACCACTGATGGTTCTTATTTACCATCGAACCTGTGGTGTTTGATTACCTTACGCGTTTCGCTATTTGGGTGATCTCATCACAACAAATGGAAGATTCATCGTGACACCAACGTGTATCCGTTCCCCAGCAAGCACGAACGAAAGCTGTTGTTGTTATCAAACAAAAAACTGGTCGAAAGCCCGACCGCGTTGGTCTCCCTCTTTATTCACTAAAATAATCAGGTGGGTAAGTAGGCTAGCTCCGCAGCAGCTTTATTGCTTGCACAAACAAAACACTTGATTTTGCTATCTCATTGATACCAGTACAGAAGCAAGTGACACCCCGCCCGACTAAACCGACAGATTGAACAAGAGGACCACGAACTTCCGTGATGCCAACGGGGGGACTATTACTAATTAGTAGACGGTTTTGGTACGATATTTTTAGTTCGCCGTAATTAGATCACAAGCCGCTTAGGTGAGCTACCATTCCGGAAAAGCAACAGACTATCGTTTCCTCCTATTGGGGCTGTTCAGTGTTGCGCATACATTTGGTCCTCTGCTGGATATCGAACCCATGACCGTTAGTGGTTTGCACGACCAGCCAGCGGATTATGCCACTAAGCTATGGGTGAAGGCGACGGGTTGCCATAACTGACATCTAGCTGCGATATAGTGCGCCTCATCCTCCATTGTCGTGTGTGGTATAAACGTGCAGAGGATAGGCGTTGCCCGCAGCGCCCGCTAGTGACGAGTCCAAATAAGACGAAACGACCGTTTAGCGCTTTCCTGAATGTGTGGTGGCTGTGTGGCTACATCTAGCCATGATAAATCTCAAAAACGAAGAAAATTTACAACTCACTCATCGGTCGGAAATTCATTACTTAAAAGCATCACGGAAGTATTTCGACCTAAGTCGCCTCTTTCAACAGTAAACAGGGCCATGCCACATGATGTGTTTCCCGTGGTCTACCCTCCTCCACGAAAGCCCGAAAGCTGACTGCACACGAAATCAAAATCGCTCCAGCGAAGTTCGAGCGCATGCTGGAGCTCGGGATTGTTCAACCCTCTAACAACCCTTGGTCTTCGCTCCTCTACTTGGGCCTAAAAGTCAGGAGACTGTTAACCATGTATAGATTGTTGCGCATAATGTGGCGGTTCCCGAACGATATCCATTTACACATATCTAAAGGATCACGGCCGGTCTTCGTGTCGCTGGCGTATTTTCCAGGAATTTTATGGTACGAACGTAGCTTCAGGTTCCTGTCGCGGACGACGACATGCGGAACACCGTCGTCATACGACTTTTGGACTGTTCGCGCTTCAATGTATATCATTTAGATTGCACAACGCATTGCAAACATTTCAGTGCCTTATCGAATGGGTCGTACGCGGAATCCACTTAGTGCACCCCTGCATTGATGATATTTTAGTGATCATTTCTACAGAACAAGAACACCGAAGGCATCTACGACTCTTGTTCGAACGGCAGAAAGCACAAAACGTAACCGTCAATCTCGACAAGGGTCTATTCCTGCAGCTGCCACAGAATTCCTTGGACAGCAGCAAGATTCAAATCCGGCATATGTAAGAGAAAGTCCATGCCACACTTGACTTTCCTTATCCGACTACTCTAGCCGCCATCTGACGTGTTATAGACATGGACAATTGCTCTCGTCGTTCATTGTCACGCTGCGCCGAGATGATGCACTCGTTCTCAAATGTTCTGCGTGGACGCAACAACGGTAGATTTGAGCTTGATCCTTAAGCAATGAAACGTTCGAGGCCGTCATACCACATCACTTTCAGTAAAAGCCCTAGATCAGTACAACCATCGACGAGCTGATTTATAGAGGTTTTCCGAAGGTAATCTGCAGCGATAGCATTCTTTTCTCGAATCCAGACAGCTGAGACTAAGTACATCGCATTTAATGACGTTACTCACTGCATACTGAAATGTTCGCGATTTCCGACATCTTCTGGAGGGTAGTCATGTTACGATCCTTACCGAACACAAACCGCCGTTCACAGCTCTTCTCGCTAAAACCTTCTTCCGGAAGTTCACCAGCGTTTCACAGTCTTCGAAAGACGTTAAACATAAGTCTGGCAGGGACAATATCACGGTGGACAGGCTTTTAAGACAGATATGCAAGCTCACTCATTAGATCTATCAGCCGTGACCACCGCGTAGCAAAATGAGAAAACTTACTGGCGTTTTGCGGAAACTCCTAGATGAAATTGGTTCCTAAACCAATTCCAACGAATATCCACGTCTACACACACCTACTGCATTTAACCAAACAGTCTTCGATATGCTCAGCAACATCCTGGTAATCGGGTTTCACTGAAGTCGCTTTTCGATAGGTACGTCTTACCTAACACGCAGCATGACATCTCACTCCGGACACGCAACTATCTGTCTATCAGCGAGCAGAAGTTCATCGACAAGTTTCCGAATGCGATTGAGCGCTTTTCGTCAATGTCAACCTTTTTAATCCCATGTCCACCTCGATATTGTATGATCACTGCTGACGTCTAAAGTCATGGTCCATAGTGGACCATAGTGGATAATGCCACTGTTTGTCCCGAGTTCGTCCCAATTACTGATGTAACTGCGCATGCCGTAACGCACGCTTTCGTTGAGCGTTGGGTCGCTTCACACGGTTGTCAAGCCATTGTGACTACCGACCGCTGTCTGCAATTCGGATCTACGATACTTAACAATCCACTGAAGCTTCTCGGTTGTCAGTTTATTCGAACCACTGTTTATCATCCCAGGTATACGGTCTGGTGAAACGCTCCCACGGCAATCAAAAGTTTCATTGAATGCTGCCAATGCATTGATGATACTCACAGCATTCGATCAGCCCGGAAGTCAATTAGCCAGCGTCCAGCGCCAAGATGTATTACAGGCAACGACCGCGACTACCAAGCGACTTCTGCTCTTACTGCACCAACAGTCTCAAAGTTGTCTTCGTCAAACCGGAGTTGGACGACGACTCCAATTCTCCGTCCTCCGTCTGCTCGACTCCGCCGATAGTGGAGATGTCCACTGCGGCCACCAATGATTCAGCTGGAAAACTGTCAACTGAACCTACGGACTCCACGCAGCTTACGTTAAGAAACAATGAACAGTGAATGTATAAGGGTTAAGAAGCGTTGCTTTACCAGTTAGTAGATAGAAATTGGGTGTTGACTATCCGAAAACGATTTACTCCTATGACGTGTTTCGATGTTATTTCATTTCATCAGATAGCAGGCAGCGAACCCAGGACCACTGGGATGTTAGTTGTGATCGGTCACAGGATACAGCGAATACCCTGTGCCTGAAATATGCTCCAAACTTTCAATACATCCAGGGGCCACCTAACCATATGGCAAGTGCTGTTTCACCCAAAACTCAATCATGTCCTTCACGGCAGAAACGGTGCTAAATTACCTGCTGAATATGCTTTAGCACAGCTCTCCCGGCGTTGATAACATTCACCCAATGGCACTTACGCTGGTAGGAGAGAGTTTAGTTGAGCTTTTGGCTTGATTCCTCCGACAGTGGATGAATTGTACGTCCCCGACATGTGGAAACACGGGATGACTACTCCAATACACAAAGGAGGTCGTCGTTCTGATCCAGCAGACTAGCGTCCCGTAATTCTATTACGGGTAATTCCGAAGAGTATAGAAGGCAATATTGCCGAAGTGCTACTGACCTACTTGGAAGAATTCACCTACCTTGAACCAAAACAGCATGGCTTCCGACGAAATCGATCGTATACTGCAACTCCACTGCAGG